TTTCGTATGTTTATGTATGGTTCTTTGTTTAAAATGACTGTGTTTTTATATATATATATACTATGGTTTTTTGAGCTGCAATGGTGAAAAACATGGGACGGTTTTTTATTGTGTTCTGTGAATCTAGTTTCCAATTTTCTTCCTGTTTCTCCGATGTAGAATTCTGGGCAGTTATTGCATGTTATTTTGTAAATGGCGTTGGTATTGTGGGATTCTAAATAATTTTTGTTTAGTAATGATTTGAATTTAGGGCCGGGTTTTTGAGAGAATTTGAGATTGACAGGAATATTGTGTTTAATGGCTAGTTTTGTCCAAGTGTGGATAATTCTTGAGCTGGTTTCAGGGACAAAAGGTAAACTGCAGTGTAATTTTCTGTTGTTGGGTTTGTTAGTATCAATTTTGTTCTTGAGTTGAGTTATGTTGTGGGGAATGTAGGAGAGTTTTTCAACAATAGCTGGTGGAAATTTATTGGTGTGAATAAAGGAATGCTTTATGTGGTTAATTTCTTCATTTATATAGTCCGTTGAACAAAATCTTGTGGCTGTGTTTATGAGGTTTTGAGTGTATTGATTTTTTGTGTGGTGTCATGAGCGGAATTCCAGGGGATGTAGGGGCCGGTGTGTGTGTTCTTACGGTGAATTTTGGTTTTAAAATGTGTGTACGATCTAATAATGTTGAGGTTAAGAAAATATAACTGTTTATTGTTTTCGTGTTCTATGGTAAATTTGATGTTGGGATGAATGGAATTTATGTGTTTAAAGAAAGTTAGTGTGTGTTCTGCAGAAGTGAAACCAGCAAAAGTGTCATCGACATATCTGTACCAGTATAGTGGGGGATAAAGCGCAGAATATATAGCTTGTGTTTCGATCTGGGTCATGAATATATTGGCAAGAACGGGTGAAACAGGATTGCCCATACTTAAACCATCTATTTGAGGGAAATGTTCGTTGTTGAAAATGAAGTTGGTATTAGTTATTGTAAATTCTAAGAGAGAAGCAAAAAGTGTGCTGGGGATGTGGATTAACTTGTTGGGGTCATTAATGTAGAGGTCGAGTGCAACATTGCAAGCTTCATTGGCGGGGACTTCGGTGAAGAGTGACATGACATCAAAACTAACCATTAAGGCTTTCGAATTTAGTTGGTCTAGTGTATATTTGAAATTGAACGGATCTTTAAAAATGAATCTGCAGATGTTACATATGGTATGAGAGCCCAGGCTATGTATTTGCCAAAATTGTAGTTGAATGAATCATAAGTGGACAGTATAGATCGTAGGGGGCAGTTCTGGTTTGTGTGGCTTAGGAATGCCATAGAGTTATGGTGTGCGTGAATCCGTTTTGCGTAGATAAAAATAAAAATCGTCAGTAATTAAATTATCTTTTTTCATTTGTAATAAAGTTCTGTTTAGTTGTTTTTCGTGTGTGTTTGTTGGGTTGCTAGGGATGGCTTTGAATTTCTTTTTATCGGAAATGATGTCGTTCATTTTGTCAATGTATTCTGAATTGTTCATGATGATAGTGGTATTGCCTTTATCAACTTTTAGAATTTTAATGTTAGTGTCTTTTTTCAGATTATAAATGGATTTGATCTCGTTACTTGTGAGGCTACTTTTCAGTTTACGGTCTTGTTCGAGAATTATAAAAACCATAGTATACCCATTAAAATCACAGTTATTTTAAACAAAGAACCAAAGATAAACAGACGAAAAATCAAGGAATCCATCTTAATTGAAAAAAAAAAAACCCTACTCTAAACCAACACCCTGAGGTGGCAAGATATCTCTTCTAAGTCTTGCAACAGTATCCGGTCATGTGACCTCTTCGTTCCATACTGTATATATATATATATATCTGTGTCAGTGTAAACTACTTGTACCTGATGATGACAAAACCTTGTCAAAACGTTGTACATTTGCTGTTATGTTAAACTTAAAGTTTTTCTTCATTACCCATTCAAGCCGTATCCAAGCATTAATAGTCTCAAAGTGGGTTCCTCGTCATTGAATCTAGAGCAGTTTAGTATCATGACACACTAGTGAGCACGTATTGATTCTTAATGTTTTGTCGATCAAAATTAATATAAAAAATGATTAGAGATTTTTATTTATTCACACTTGTAAGAGTAATTGTTATTTATGTTGTAATTGACTTTACACCAGTGACACCGTATAACATGAAAGCCTCATTTATAACACTGGCGACCACAGTTTGTAACTCAGATCTTTGAATCATTTTTTAGCTGTGTTGTTGAATTTTTTTTACTGTGCCATATTACTTTTATATATATATACTTTTATTTTTTAAACGGTTGTTAACATTAGTAGCTGAAATTTATTCACAACAGGAAATAAAAATGAAAGAACACTGTTTAATTTTCTCTACAAACTAGTTGACACGATAAATTTTTTTTTAGGAAATTTTTTAGCCTAATGCAATATTTTGCATCCAGCTACTAATAGTGCAGGATATTCTGCAAAATGAAAAGTCAACTCCTAAATCAAATATTGAAGTTCGTATTTGGTGTTTCATATCACCAAAAATGTCCTTGCCCAATTCCAACTTAAGCATGTGTACTATAAGAAAGATGGAAAAAATAGTTATATAACTTGGTTTTCATATGATTAAACTTTATAGTTTAAGTCCAAAGTTTCTTAAATTTCTGGTTTTTAATGTATATAAAACCTTGAAAATATTCAATAATACGTTATTAGATCAGATGTCGATATATAACCTTGAAAATATTCAATAATATGTTAGAAAATCAGACTGTCAGTATATAACCTTGAAAATATTCAATAATACATTAGTAGATCAGATGTCGATATATAACCTTGAAAATATTCAATAATATGTTAGAAAATCAGACTGTCAGTATATAACCTTGAAAATATTCAATAATACGTTAGTAGATGAGACTGTTAATATTAGAAAAAATAAATTATTAAACACGATCCTCAAACAGTTTTAAGTAATCGCTTTCATGTAAGCTTTTAATATCACACAATCACAAATAGACCTTACCTTAGTGATAAGCTGAAAAATAGGTTTAAGATTGTTGGATGTGAATTCAGTGACATCTGTTTATAAAGGTTTCTTGTCTTTTAAGACTTAGAAAATATACTCTAGCTAACTGCTTTACTGTAGACTTAAGCTGGAAGTAAACTACTGGGGTAATCTGTGTATCTACAGTTGTATTAGTGTTAGATTTAAGGAGTTTCAGTGCAGATCTAATATAAAGTAGGGTTTACAGAGGAATAAAAAGTAGTTATGTAATTTTCTTAAAGAGACTTTAATCAGAGAAAGATTTTTTTCAGGTTTTAACATTCTATGTTTGTTACATGTGAATCTTTAATCCAGTGATTTTTAAAATATATTTTGGACTTCAGATATCTGACATGGAGGAAGCTTCAGTTTTTATAAAGTCTCATTTTCATTTTGTAACTTTTAAGATTAATATATTAGATATTATTTTTAACATAACTGCTCAAAATTATATATAGTTATTTTCTTAGTCTGGAAGAAAATGTCATTTTTTCATACTTACATTTTCAGCGAATTTTGTATTTGTTTAACATATTTTTTGTATACAATTAAAGCAAAGAACTTTATTTTATAATGCTTAGAAGCTTTTATGTATTGCAGTTTAAAGTTAATTTTACTCTCAATTTATTTTAGTACTTTATAAACTCCTAAATAATAAGTTTCTTGGTTGCAAACACTGTTCCACATTATGGAATCCAACATTATAATAGTTTTAATAATTTTTGAGTAGTTGTTCAGTAGTAAGAGTTGATGTACTAGTCCACTATAAAGGCACTTGTGAGTGATCATAGAACAGTATTGTTTGTTTTATATATATATATATATTTATATGTATTTAGTTTTTTAAATTACATGTTAAGTATTTTTGCTTGAAGCATCTCTGATTGTACTCTGATTTTTTTAGAATAGAAGTGAGGTTTGATAACAACATTTGTTTAGGCTTAAATATCAATTGCTTCAGCTATTTGGTTGTTTTTCTTGTGAATATGAAAAATTTACAAAGAGCGAATGCCACAAGACACAGAAAAAAATGGTTGGGTAATAATTATGCAATATTATATTTGTTTACGTGCAGTAAAATGTAACATTTCATGGGAAATACCAACTTCTCGTCAATGACGCACCACCGGTTTGATGTTTTTGTCCCTAAAATTCTCGCACCTGTTAATACATAATGATATCCTTCTGTTTTGTGTTGTGCAGTATAATTGTTTCAGAGCTCAGTCTGCTTGACTTGAGAAAAACAGTAGTTAAATGTTGCTGTCAAAATTGTTTTATTACTTTTTTCAATTTTTATAACGATTATTTTTTACAGTTCAACGTACACCTACTCTCAGCCAGTAATGATTTACCAAACTGATATGTATAGAGTTGATAGTCTTTGTGTCCAGTTTGTTTTGTATATAGTAGTTTATAGACAATTTATTGTCCTAATTAGTATCAAATGGGAGATTCTAAACTGTAATTGTACATATATATAATGGTTTTTGATCACACCTTATTCACTTTCTAACCTACTCCTGCAGATATAATATATTGCTCAGAAATTAGTAAAGTGTGGTATTTTCAGTTTAAAAGTTTATAAGCCTTTTTTTTTTTTTTAGTTTAAAAGTGTAAAAATTGTAGAAATGTTATCTGTAACTAATAATATATTTTACTGGCTTTCCACGAGAATAAGAGTAATATAAAATATTCTTGTTTTTGAGTGTTTGATTTTTACACTTGTCGTAAAGGTCGATATCAGGTTACTTAGTAGTCAGAGCAACATGAATTAAACAAGAATATTTTTTATGTAACGTTAGTGTTAATGTTTAAGAACATAATTTCAATGAGCACTAATTATGCTACCAAAGTGTTTTGCTGATAATATGTTTTTGTACTGAAAAGTTTGGTTGTTGTTGTAGTTTGTATGAATAAATTTATATCTACATAAGTAAAGGGTAGAGAATTGTTTGACGATTAAAACTGAAAATATAATGACATTTCTTTAAAACTCGAAAATTTAATAGCTAAGCTAAATGCTGTTCATGTATTAGGTCTAATTTTAATGAATAAAAGTAAATCCTAATGGGCTCGATATGTCTGGTATTGTGATGTAGAAGGTGACTACACTATTGTTTATTACACTATACGTACAGTAATGTTGAAAGAAAAGCAACATAGCTCATATATGGTGTCTAATAAACTTTTTAACAAAACTGTTAATGTGTCATGAATGACATTCAATTTGTTATCACCAACTATGTCTGAGCAGACTACACAAATGTAACTTTTACCTGATAATGACCCGATAGTATGGGTCGAATCTTTATAGGAGTTAAAACCAGAATTTGCCTACTGTAAAATTTGCTGTTATTGTATTTTTGAATTAAAGAACTGAAAGCATTGTGGATTAGTAAAGCCTTTATTTTTCAACGTGGTGTTCAGCCTGAAAGTTTTCTTGTATGATAACACATACCCACATTTAAATTATATTTAAAACAATGTTTGTTCTGAATAATTGTATTTGCTATCAAAGGTGTCGTCCACCGAAAGGATGAGGATACACTATTAGAATGTTATGTGAATTAATTCACCCCCACCTCATAGAAACACTTGTCGGTTACATGTGTAATTATCAAAAGATAACCATGCAGAATCTGGATGTTGTATCCCCAAATTGTGAGATTTCTTAAACATATTTTTGAAGGAGGGGTTAGCTTAGTTTTCGATTTAAATAACCCTCTGATGCGGAAAGGATGAGGATACACTATTAGAATGTTATGTGAATTAATTCACCCCCACCTCATAGAAACACTTGTCGGTTACATGTGTAATTATCAAAAGATAACCATGCAAAATCTGGATGTTGTATCCCCAAATTGTGAGATTTTTTAAACATATTTTTGAACGAGGGGTTAGCTTAGTTTTCGATTTAAATAACCCTCTGATGCGGTGGTGGCAATACTGCTGTCCATTCTGGCTCCAAGTAAAGTAGCCCATCTCACATCATCATATTTTCTTAGTTATACAAACTTGCTTTTGGTCAATATTAACATAGAATAAATCATTATATTATAAACAAAATGTGATAGTTGTCCAATTTAAAGTTATATGTGATTATCTGAACAGTTCTACACCATTCATAGATTAAAATTTTAGTGTTTCTATTGGATATAAATTAGATGAGGTAAAGTATAAAAATTGTTTATTGGCTAATTCTGAAATACAGTATGTTAGAGGTGGGTGTGGTAAGTGCATCTCACTTTCTGATTGACAGCTCCATAGATAAAAAAGATTCAAGCCAGGGAAAATTATATTTCTCATGGGAATATTCATAAATTAGTATTATCAATTTACCTTAAGACTTTGTACTTCACAAAGGGGTGGTAGATAAGTTATCAAACACAGAAGATTTAGAGAACTTACGTCAAAACTGTCGTATAAGGTGAGTTTAAGATTTCATTTAAATATGTTCTTAGCAAATTAAGACCATTTAAACTCGTATAAAAATTGATTTATTATCCACATTTTGATAAGTTTGTTCAGTCATTACAACCTAGTTCTAAGGTAGCATACAGAAAGGGTTGCAGAATCTCAGTATGCAGGTTACCATCTTCAAGCCCACTACTTGTCAGGTGAGTCCCAGAATGAATTCATAGCAACCCGCGTTCAGCATGTACGTCACATTGTTTTAGAGGAAATACTTTGTTGTCATAGTAGATGTAACACCTGATTCATCTTGTCAAGAACAGACAACTTTTATTCTGAGGTATGCATCCGTGCTATCAGAATGTTCTTCCTTGGTCATTCAGGAAAAGTTTCTAAGATTTATTGATTACAATAAGAATACCTTGTCTGATATTTCTAATCTAATACTTCATTACTTAGCTGATCATGAAATACCAATGATGGATTGTAGAGCCCAAATTTGTGACAATTGGTCCGATATGGTTGGTAAGTATAATGGTGCTCAAGCTGTTTTACTAAAAGTTAATCCTCTGTCATTTATCTCACCATGTGCTTGTCATTGTCCCAATCTTTGTGGAATACAAGCAGCAGAAAGTTTGGAATAGTTCAAAAGCTTTACAATGTATTTAGTTATATCCCACAGCGATGGAGCATTCTTCTGAAAAATATAGGCTTTTCTCTTTATGGACTTTCGGGAAGAAAATGGATAAGTCAGAGTGGATAGTGTTAGGCCTTTTTGTAGTTCATCTTCCTGGGATTCTGGAGGCAATATCAGAAATTCTTCTACTCAATCTTACATCTCAAACAAGTCAAATGTATAACTGACCATGCACAGTCATTTTCCTGCTTCTTGATGGGAGGAATCTGGCTAAAGGTACTTTTGATCATTAGTCAGCACATTCAAATATTGCAGGCCCACAAAACTAACATTAATATTGAAGTGAGAAACATTGAAAGTCTGTTGACTGATTTCAAAACACTGCATAAACATTGGAGCTCAATTCTTAATGAAGAATTTGGTTGCAAATAATATGAATCTTCTGCTACGACTGGCTGCAAAACGGGAAAAACTGTTCCCAAGTATTTTCTTGATGAAAATAAAGATGACTCCTTACTTAATTGTGAAGAAAATGAACCTGTAGAGGAGACAAAATTCAGATGAAACACATTTTGTAAGATCATAGATTCTGTTATTGCTGGTCTCATTACAAGATATAGAGCAATCGTGGATATTAATGAAACTTTGTGTTTTTTTGTGGCAATATCCAGATATATCGGGGAATAATCCGCATTCAGAAACTAAGGATTTTGTTGCCAAGTATAGATCTGATGTGTTAGAAGACATAGTGGAAGAAATGAAACATCTAAAGGCCATCCACAAAGCTAACTTTGGTGATAATGCATTAAATCCTTCATATCTTCTCAACAAAATGCACAAATTCAAGCTACATCCACTTTCCCAAATGTTTCTGTAGCCTTTCGTTTTTCTGCACAATCCCAGTCACAGTTGTTGAAGGAGATCTTTTAGGAAACTGAAAGTGATAAAACATTATCTGTGTCCCAGCATTGCCCAAGACCGACTGTCAGATCTGGGAACCCTCACAACTAAAAACCAGTTAACCCAAACTTTGGATTTCAGCAGGGTTATTGATCCCTTTGCAAGACAAACGACAAGGAAAGTACACTTCTAACAATGAAAATCATACAGTAAACAATTGTCTGGCCTAATGATGATAAACCCATTTATGTATTAAAATAGAAGAAAACTATAAACCTGATCTGTATTCATCCAGTTGTATCTTATTTTGCTATTAAATAACTAATGTTTAGATGCAATTAAATATTGCTTTCATATATTCACTGTATTAAACAAACATGAACTTCATTGTATGAGCATTGTTTTTTTCCTCTTTATTCATTTGTTTAATAAAAATTTTTTAAATCAGTAACTGTTGTGATTTCCTTTTAGGCAGTAATGTGTTTGTGTGTTAATGCGTATATCAATTGTATGGTGATAGAATTAATCATTAATTCCTCAAAATATTTCGGCCCATATTCGTAGTTTGTTGAAATGTTATAAATTGTGACTTGGACATATATATATATATATATATATTCAATTTGCTTGTTATGTATACAATGAATAAAAACATACATAATAAAATACTGATTAAACATACTTTGTGTTATAAAATATGGCTAAAGCTTCATAATTACTTGTCAATTGCTATATTTAATTAAGGCAAACTAGCGGCTAACAAATCTACACTAATACTGTTCTTACAAATATGATATCCAACTGTAAAATCTATAACAAAAACACATTAGGTTAGTAGGTTACACATCTCACAGTAAATCTATCAAAATGCATGATTGGGTAAAGTATCCTATCTCGGAATCATAAATTTCAGCTTGTTGACAGTCAGTTTGTACATGCATATCTGGGTCCGTGGGAGGCGGGGTTGCATATAAAAATCCTTCCCTGGGGGCCCGTGGCAGTTCTCGGTGGCTCTGCATGTTTATCAACCATCACAGGGTTTAGTGATTACGAAGAAATTCACAAACCAGTTTTGAAGAAGTTGCTTAAGTTTTAGATCTGAAAGAGAATAGTAGGAACACAAAGAGACAAAATAATATCATTAACATACATCGAAACACTGTGTTTACAGTCCCTATTGGCCCCTAAAAGCAAAATAATGTCTCAGAAATATCTGGTTATGGGGCACAAAATGTCACATAAACTATTTCAGCCTTGATTGGTCACTATATAAGTAACAGGTGATTTTATTATCAGTTATAAGCTGACGGGCTGTGTTTAACAGCAAATATATGATCAGTTCATGAATGATTGTTAGTTTTATTGCACTCATTTTATTATATTGTTTGGATTTTCATGGTGGTTTCTCTCTATTTATCAATGAATTGTAAGTGATAGCTGGTGAAGATCTTAAGTTAGAAAAGTAGTTATCCCCATCACACCAAAGAATGCTCGCCCTTTCAGCCGTGGGGGCATTATAACGTGATGGTCAATCCCACTATTCGCTGGTAAAAGAGTAGCCCAAGAGTTGGCGATGGGTGGTGATGACTAGCTGCCTTCCCTCTAGTCTTACACTGCTAAATTAGGGACGGCTAGCACAGATAGCCCTCATGTAGCTTTGCACAATATTCAAAACAAACAAACAAAATTTTTGCTCTCATTTATTTTTTATGCCTCACACCTTATTACAGTAACCAAAAGAGTCTTGAGCCTACAAGCAACTTTATGTGTAAATGGTCTAGAAAAAATATGCTGAAAAAGCCAATGGAGTCTGTATAAACCCTGTCACTAATTCTAAGTTTAATACAGTGTAACTGACCAGAATTTATAATCAAACCAAAGTGAAACTAATGTTTAAGGTTTTGATTTTTGTATTTTAAGGACAACTTCCAGTGTGTTGTGGAAATAGAAGGGGCCAAAGAACGTGTTCTAGCAAGAGTCTATGGCAACAAAATAATCTGTGCTGAAACAGTAGTAAGAGAAATTGGTATTCTTTTGTATCTTAGTCTGAAATAGTGAAAAGAATTATCACTATATATAAATGTTTTATGTTAAGTATCTAATAGATAACTATATTAAATAAGGTATTTTTGATGATAGATTGAGCATTGTTTAAATGTAAAGTTATCCATTGTTTTCAACTTGGTAGGATAAAGTTTAACCCTTTATCACCTCCATCAATTATGGGAACAGAAAAATCCCTTCCATGGATGATAAAGGGTTTAAAAAATTATCCCATTAATTAAAGCACATTTAACTGTAAAGATTAATTGTACATAAACTAATACATACCTATCTGAATTATTTGATTCTGTTGCACTTTATATATACCTTGAAATGCATTATTGAATTTTCTTCAAGTTGTATATATATATATATATATATAACATACTAGTAACAAATTCATGCTTTGACAAGAAAAACAAAAATAAAAAGGATAATTTTTTATTGCAAATAACTACACGATAGCACCTAAATAGTGTTGGGATATCTTGTCTTTTTATTTATCAACCAAAAGAATACAGGTGCAACACCAAAGCATTCACAATTGATAATCAATTAAGGAGTAAGACCGAGGTCTTTTAAGCCACTTTGTCCTGAACTCATCTATGCACTCACTGTCTGCAGCCAGTTGTGGGCATGATAGCTACTTCTTAATATAATGATTAATGAGCCTACTTCCACCCTTTTCTCAAAGTAATTATGGTACCCACACACAATCGTATTGAAAAACTCAACCTCCACCTATTTTAAGTTAAAAACTATATTACCAACCCACAAAGTTTGTATTACACCCAACCACCTCCTTTAAATAGTAAAGAATGTTTTATCAGGCAAAAGGGTGAAAAGGATCAAGTTCTGGAGATACAAGAAAAGTGTCTTTACAGATCTTAAACTTCTTAGTCACCTAAAAGCTATGTCTATAATTTCTACTCTCCCTAACACCTCTTAATCTTTTTATAAAGGGCAAAAATAATTAAAATCTAACTATTTTAAAACAGTACTAGGATAAAAGGAAGGAAACAAATTATATGTCTGATATTGTAACTTTGGTTGGCCAGTGCATCTGTACCCTTACAAGTTGTTTATAACCATTTGTAATACTAATAATTACAGTACTAACAGTGTTCTTTCTAACATGAATTGTTACTGAGAGTGCTCAAAGGTGAATAATACAGGGAATTTGTGTCAGTTGAGTGTGGTGGGTGTTTTACACACCACTTAGACTTAGCATGTGCTGAAGCAGGTTATCTAAAAACTGCAAAGAAAAAAGAAAGTGTAAACTGTAGATTCTAAAGTTTTTGTATAGAAATTTATGAATAAACAGCCCTTAATATAATTTCCAGGAGTTTTTGGTTACTTTGAAATGAGGATATTTACTTCAACTTTATCAAATCATAAATTTGCAGATGTAACTTGAAAGTTTTAACGATTAATAATCACTTGTTTTATATATACACCCAACTCTAAATAACATGTAGAGTCACATATAACTATTACCTGGATAATACTATGTGCACTTTGACCCCCACCTGTGACATAAAGGGTTAAACAATCAAGATAAACAATTATAAATCATGTTGGCCATATAATCTGTTTGATATATCTTATGATAGGAAGGTTAATGTGTCTTGTGTAAAAACATTTTCACACACACAGTGAATGATTCTCTTATTTCTTTATGGTAGATACATCCATTAAGTAGTCCCATTCAAGGTGGCACCTTAGTGGCCGTTGAAAGAAGTAACATATAGTAACAGCAAGATATACATATATCAATAGTGTATTAAACAAGCAAATTATATGTATATCAAAGTTTGTTGATATATCATTATGTACATTTACACTAACAGCTGTTTGGTTATACCTGTTTCTTTTATATATTTATCTTGTTAATTATAAAAGTTACATGATAATCTGTACTTTTTAAAATTTTGTTTCAATTTTTGCTTACTGACAGGTAATGTTTTTAATGTAGTATAGGTATCAGGAGGAGATTAGGCAACTAAATGCAACATTAACAGTTTTCTGGCATGGCAACTCGTTTATAGACCAAATAATAGGTAACCATTCCCAAACTTCTTGTTATCCTTGAATCTTATATCACTGGGTGAAATCCATTGTAATAAAGTGTAGCACTATATTTTATTGTAAGTGCTTAAATAATTATATTTTTAGTGTATTTTTGACAATGTACATCTGGTTGTCCAACTGGTGATGACCCATGAGGCAGTTCCAACTGGCCTGCCAACCACCAGGCAAAATATAAAAAATAAATAAATTGAAATTAGAGGTTGCTTTTAGTGCCTTTTGACTGTGAGGCCTAGTTTCTTATTGTTTATTACGTTTTGATTCATTATTCTGGCATTTAATACAATAAACTTGAATAAAACCATAATGCATTTTTTTTTTTCATCAACCACAAGTGTGCAGTCCATGAGACCACACTCAAAATACTATGTAACTCATCACTAGCACAAAGTTGGACAACCCTGATACACCTCAAGTGAATAAAGATCTATTTCATTTTTTGTAGGAAACATTTGTTTTTGATTATTTTTTCTATACGTTTTATGGATTCCACAATTAGTTTTTCATATAAATAAAATGAAACTTAGTTATTTGGGTTACTAGTAGTAATATGTTGCTATAATATTTTCAAAACTACTCCAATTGAAATAGTTCATTTTTTCTTAAATTTTTAATAACTAATTAATTTAATAATTAAAAATTAATAACTCCAGTTCAACAAGCAAATGAATATTGAATATTTGTTTCTTTTACTAACTAATTAATTCATATTTTTAACTGTTGTTTGTTAGTTACACTATATAAGTGTCATCTTTTGGGGAGTCATGGAGGACAAGCAGATTGTTCTCTTTGTCTGACAAGGGACCCAAAGTTTCGATGTGCCTGGTGTAGTAACAAGTGCCATTACAGTGATTCTTGTCTTGAAGCTGCAGCACTGACTTGTCCACCACCTCGTATAGACTGGGTGAATCTCTTTTTCTTTGCCATTCATTTCAATTAGGAACTTCAGTAGTGTATTAAAGGATATTTTTTGATTCAATTTGAAACATAAATTTTTTCCACTTGTTTTAATTAACTAGTTACACAATATATGTTAATGCGACTGACAAGATTGCCGCACAATTGCCATCCTGCTGTCAAACTAAGTCAAAATGTTGAGGTTAATAAAACCAAATAGTGAGTAGAAAAATATTGTTGTAATCATCATGAGAAAGTGTTAATATATATACATAAAGATTTTTCGTAAGGTAAAACCTTGTTGTATCATTAATTTTTTTTCTAATGATTTAGATATTGTAACTTGAGCCAAAATCACATACTTTCATTACTGTTATATTTTTGTTAGTACTTAATTCCCTTGGGATTATAAAATGTCAGCTATTATGAAATAATTCATAATAATAAACTTAGATATATTTTATAAACTTGCCTTAATATGATAGATGTTGTAAATAAAATATTTGAAGACATGGAAAAATGTTCAGTGGTGATCAAATGTTAAAAGCTTATCCTGATATAGACCTGTGTGGTTATTACTGATTGAAATAAAAGTAGTTTGTAAAACAAGTTTAGTTAACCCTTTGAGTACAAACCATTTTGGCATTTATTTACAAACGTTTTCATCCAGCACCTTATAACCATTAGGATATATATATATATATATATATATATATATATATTGTTTTTCTTC